CATAAGAGTTCAAGTCAGTCTTTTGAACAAGGTCGTGATGGTGGGCAAGGGAGCTGCGTGATTTCTGTTTGGTTTAGGGTTGTGGTCAAGATAGAAGCTAAAATTGTATGTGAAGGTGAACTGACTATCCTTTGGGCTTCACCTTCACGCACAATACCCAGTTCATCGATTCAACCATACACTCGAAAGCATAAGACTATATTTTCGCTCTTATTAGAGCTCATCATCAGTTGTGCATATCCACCGTCCCGACATCTGGGATTTGAACTCCGGACTCGTCGCATAGAAGGTGTGTGCGTTATCACTGTGCCAACCAGCTCATACCATGGCTGAACCAAATGGCCGATTCATGTTTGTTCAGACATCATCTTCAGTGATAGTCAGTCAGTCCATTGTTGGCCCAACAGCAACGAAGGGGGGCAGGGGTGACAATCTGTTAACTCTAATCAAAAGCCTCCCATCAAGTCAGGACTCCCATACAGGTTACAGGCTGATTAGCCAACGAACCTACAAACTCGATCAAATCAATCAATATTCCGCACCACTAATCACAAGTAGCTGTGAGTTGAATGCGAATCTCGTAGTGACTCAAAACGCTTCGGGTGTGTCCAGGTATCTGCGGTCAGAGATTAGTCGGCAGAGCAACCAGAATGGATGAACACATTCAGAGGCAGCTTGATATTAGTGGAAGCAGACTAACACCTACAGTGCGACTGCCAGGCATTTGTTGAATTCCGGTCACCACATATATGAGCTTATTTGACATCACATGTCTCCGGAAATTGAATCTCTATTTTTCAACATGGTTCTCATGTACGTTCTATTACACAAAACCTTAGTAAATGTATTGTTAAACAGAGTCTACCCAACTGTTTCGGTTGCGAACAGTTTATCTCGAGCTGAGAATCTTCTTTTGTTGTTGGTTAAACTCTATTGGAGAATTGAATTTATGACGTGTCATTGGACGTGGAGTTCAAATATTAAGTGAGCGCATAGAATGTAGTACGACTGGATAATCACAGTATAACCAAGTCGCAGCATGCTGTCGTTCGGCAGAATCATAATAGGCCACAGTAGATTGACAATCTACATGTTAAGCACATGAAAATGGTATCTAGGTTGCATAAATGAAGTATATACAAGAGTTCGCTAAAGTCGTGCAACATCACTCTCATTTTGGAAATCCAGTTCAGTTTGGGAAATCATACTTGTATATTCATGGCAATGGGTAAAGTATATTTATTCTAACATCTAGTTTGAATTTTCGCGACCTTGGGTGTCGCGATAAATTTTGTACTGGTTCGAAAGTTACACCCCAGGTTTGGAAAATATTTTACGCAAAGCATTATGGAAATCCATTCTGGCTAGTGAATGATTCCTGTTTCATTAGTGATTATTAGCTGGACACAATAATTCTAAATTGCTTAGCTCTATTGATTCACAACCAAATTGGGGAATATTGTAGGAGAATTAGCCGTTTTTTCCTCCTGTTATTGTTTGAAAATGATGGCTCATTTTGAAATTCAAATGAGACCACCTGAAATGAAGCCATTATTGAACGCCCAACAAAGCAGTTCACGGATTGGTTTTAACAACAAATTGAAATCGTCGCACGTCCATTTAGCAATGGGTTCATCTCACTACTGGCTAATTAGTAACTCTGCAGAAGGAGAAAGCTAATCTAACGATCTGGTTTTCCAATGAATTTCGTTTTTCCAGACAAAAGAGGTAAATTTTCATCCCGCCCAACGAGTTTGAAGGGATCTAAATGCTGAGCATCTTGCTGTTGGTCTCCTGCACATACCGATCTGGATATCGCAAAGTTCCTTCCACTGATAACGGAGGTTCTTGATAACTGTCACCCACAAAATGCATTTGGGGAAAGCATATTTTCACAGATAAAGATTTATTTATCTTCTCACTTGAGGTTGGTAATGGAAAACGATTCGACTTCGATAAATATATTTTTTCAAATTTATGCAGATTTTAGGTGGGTGAAAACCAATATCGAATTCATTCAATTACCACTCAGTATTTGGAATTTAAATGTAATCTCAAACTTTTCCTTGTAGTAGAAATATAAATAAGTTAACTGTCTCATCGGTGGTTAGGGTGCGGCATGTATTAAAGGCAAATTCCATGGGATAATCAAACTGGCAGAAGCCAGACTAAAGCGACCGCCTTCAGTGCTCAAATTGAAGAATGGCAAATAGAATATGGACCTGTATGAATTCTGCGAGTCATTTCGATAAATAAATTCTAGTTACGTCTTTTACTGTAGCTTTGTTATTTCACAAATGATGCACTAGCAAAAATCGATAAATCGTACATTTTATTGACTGTCATACAGGAGAAGCAATACATAAGTGGATATTATTACTAATATGTTGCGTCTGATATGGAAGAATATCATATTCAATCCCATGAGTGAGGCTGGAAAAGCTAAGCGTTAGTAGGAACCAATGTGATGAAAGTCAGGGTATTGCATGAGTTTGGTAAACACCTGTGTATCTAAACGCTCACATAGATTAGTGTTAAAACCTGAAGAAGGTGAATTTAGACAACGCATGCGTTATTTCTTTAGCTTTCCGAAATATGTTCACAAACTGCAATGAGCACAGATCAATTGAGTTCTCAACTTTCGTCCCTAAAGTACACTCGCTGCTAGGTTTGTTGCAGCGCTTACAAGTATACCTAAAAGATAGAACGGCTTTGGTAATTGGACAGCCTTGCATTATTCATTATCGACAAGAATGGTTGCATTTGGGGTGCACTGCCGTGAACTGTAGACGTGTAAACGCAGTTGGCATTTCCTTTCCAAT